CTCTCCTTTGACCACACCGTGCAGCTGCAGCAACTTTTTCACAGTCAGAGCAGTTGGGTCTTAAGTCGAAGAACCATCATAAGGAATGTGCACGATTTCTGTGAGAACAAAGGACCTGCCAAAGGAACTTCAGCGATGGCTTACGCTTAGGCAGGTGGAATCGGTAGAGACAAATCCCTGGCACATTCATTCTTGAATTGGCTCCTGGCATGAGCTCCTAGCATCAAAAGACTGGGGCTGGCGAGCTCTTGCACTTCACCTGTGGTACTCAACAAATGAGGTCCCACACGCCCTCAATGATTAAGCATCAGTGGTGCAACCACTGTGGCAGTGTCTGCTGCGAAGGAGTTGGCTACGCGGAATCCACCTCGGTGCCAGATTAGAAGCGTCGCTCAGAAACAGAACTTGAGGCAAACGACGATGATGCTCCATGTTTTTCATCAGGTGAACTGATTTTCACCGCACCTCGTCTTTTTAGGGAGTCTTGAGCACCTCCAAACAGATCGGTTTCGTCAGCTCAGGATAGAGCTGCCATTCTGCCAAACCTTCAAAGAACAAAGCGGAAAAGGAAAGGAACCCCACAAACCATAGGCATAGAGATACATATGCTTCAGAACGTAACAACCAGGTAGGTCTTCAGTCAGATTTGTTTGCGCACTCGGAACCTGTCAAGTGAAATGCTGCTTTGCTGGGACCTTGACCTGAAGAGGGCAGCAAACCCACCTGACATGAACACTCGGAGGATAGGCAAGTCACCAGAGTTCAGCCCTTTGAGCATCTTGAAAATGTCTAGCGTGAGTTTAGTTTATGCCACCAAGCCCTTTCTGAACGAATAACCTAGAGTTACGGTGGGATGCATTCCTTTCGCCTTGAACGAGACTCAAAGGACACCTGAGATTCCACTGAAAGCAAAGCCTGGAATCCAATTTTTGCACCGAAGTGGACCTACGTTTTTGGAACAAATCTACCGCACACAACATGGCACCTCAAAGTTCTGCTTTCATCCATACAAAACCCTTGGTCAGATTCCTGCGTCGCAATCGCAGAGGCGGGGAATGCAGCGAATGGCATCTTCAAACCTTCCATGTCTCCTTTTGCAAATCTTCCGACTGGGTTAAATGGCTGACTGATTGACGTTGATCTATCCATCTCGACAACAATGCCTTTTAAAAGGTGCCAAGGTGATTGGAATAGCTCCAGCCGGCGGGTCACTATGGCTGATAGACGAAGACTGCTGAGGCATCGAAGGTCAAAGAAATGCCATTCCAAGATCTGAATCAACGGCAACACTGCACTCGTTTGGAACACTGGTAAGGCTTGTTCTTGGTCTTGTGTCTTTCAAAG